GCCCCGGTCCGGGAAGATCCTACATGCCGCGGAGCGGCTGGGCCCGTGAGCCATGGCCGCTGAGCCTGCGCGTCCGGAGCCTGTGCTCCGCAACGGGAGAGGCCACAACAGTGAGAGGCCCGCGTAACGCAAAAAAAAAAAAAAAAAAAAAGCCAACTCATGGTAAGCAGTCCATTCCTCCATGAGACAAGATAAAGAAAACACTGGTATATTGTTAGATTTTCTTATCTTTACTGTTTGACCTTTCTAGTCTCCAGGAGATAACTACTTGTGCTTAGAACTAAGTTTCTATTCTGCTATTTAAAAATGAATAAAGTATAGAATTCTAACAAAATCAAGATCAGTTTAAAATATCTTTCTCATCATATGTAAACATGCTACGTTAAAATAAGGAGATGGAGATGGTGCAGCATGGGTGTGTGTTTTGGGGGGATGGCTTTGGACTCAGACAACCCTGGAGCTGTATCTTGACTCTGAAATTTTACTACTGCCTGACCTGGATGAGTTTAGCCTCGTTTCCACAGAGTTTCTCCAACTGTAATGGTGAGACAAGGATGCCCACCACTGTCCTTTAACAAATCTATCTTACCTCTTTTCTGCTTTCCTTAGGAGTCAAGATTAAGGTCAAGGAAGATAACTCCCTAAAGAGTGTACATTATTTTCTATGACTGGAGTGGATTATACAAATGTGGTGCCGCTTTCCATTCCTTCTACAGGGACTGAGTTAGATCTCAGGGCAGTCAAAGGGCTTGCTACTACTTCTCTTCTCTCTTCTCCTAGGATGCTGTTCTCCCTTATAGTAGGAGCCCAGCCCAAGGCTACTGTTCCAGTCAGCAAAGGACAGTGGCTTAAACCACTGGGTACCAGGCAATGGGACATGCTCACTCTCTGACTCACACTCACGTCTCTTTCTCCCTCCTTTTCCTTGGTAGTTGGTGATGGTGCCCTTATCCTTTCCTTTCCTCACAGGGCACTGGTGAGGCTCTGACACAGCTTTGGGTTAGGATACTGACAGATGGCTAAGGCTAAGCCTTGGTGAAAGAGTTCCCCACAGGGTCCAGACTCATTTACTGACATTTTTCAAAGGCCTCTGACTTCAGAACCTGGGTTTACAATGAATGCTAGTTTGCCTTCCTTTGATGGGGCATTTCTTTTGGGGACCTTCTAGGAGACAGGCATGGCTGAGGGCAGGATGCAGCTCATCACCATCATAATATCGTCCTATTAAGAGCTGAGCGATGCCCACTTTCTACAGTGTTAAGAAGATTAGAGAATACAATGCATAGAAAAATACACCTAACGTATGCCTGGCTGTTGAGCATCACCGCCCCCCACATCCCCACATCTCTCCCCTTATCCATTACAAAGTGAACATAAGAAAGAAACCCAGTGCAAATTTGGATGTGGTTTTTCATTTTCTTGTCACCCCTACAGTACAGTGATTCAAATCTCTCAGGAACTGAACATAGTTAATACAGCATATTGAAGTGAAACTTTCCTTCCAGAAGAGTTATGATTTGGGAAGTGAATAGTATGGCGCTAAATGTAATCTGTTCATGGAATTCCGGGGTCGTTTGCTCCAAAGGTCCCTTTCTCCTTCATGTATTATAAACTACACCTTTGCTTTATTAATTACTTTTTGCTAGAGACCACAAGAAAAAAAAATCAAGAAAATACTTTGCCAGGTTTACCCTTAGCTTTTCCTTAAATCTTTTCAAAATATGAAGCTTCTGAATTTTCAATGTCTTTAATGGTCATACGATTTTTCCTGTTCTTTTTTCCACCATGATGTTTTCTCCATGTTGTAAGTTAATGATGACTATTTTATTAGGTATCTACTGTGTTCAAAATTTTATGCTAGGTGCTTAACATTTAACAACTCTATAAAGTAGGTACAATTCCCCTTATTTTTTGATGAGAAAACTGAGATGAAGAGAGATGGAGAAACCTGTGTAAAGTCACAGAGCTTGAGAATCCAAAATGTGGATATTGCTTTGAAAAATACTTGCACATTTGAAAGAACAGCAAGGACACATCTCTCTTTTCCTCCCCAAATGCATACCAAGTATCATTTGCTAAAAAAGGGTCATATAAGGAAGTCTCGTGGGATTTTAAGAGGGTGCTGGGAATCCCCCTTGTGTCCTCATAACTCCAACTCTGACATGAAAAGAGCTACTCAGAACATAGTGGAAGTATACCAGGTTGCTGTGTCCAGAGTAAAATTAACCAGTCCAGCAGCTAGAAAATGTATTTCTGTTGAGGCTTGCAAAGAGAGGTCTCTATCAGTCTAGTACACTAGAGAGAATCCTGGTATCAGAAGACTTGGGTTCCTTTCTGGCTTGGTGACTTAGTTAGCTGTGGATTTTTTGGCAACTACTCTAGGCTCTTATTTTTTTCATCTATAAATGAAGGATGTTCTGAGACTCCATTGAGATGAGGTTTGTTCATATACTGTCTCATTTATCTCCTCAGTTATATATTGTATGTTTTTCCTCACTATTAAGTAAATTCCTAGATATCAGAGAATATATAGAATATATATAGCCTGTATATCTCACTACTGTATCTCCAAGGTATGGAATACTGCCTGGCGCACAGCAAATGCTCAAAAAATATTTGCAGGGCTTCCCTGGTGGCACAGTGCTTGAGAGTCCGCCTGCCGATTCAGGAGACACGGGTTCATGCCCCGGTCCGGAAAGATCCCACATGCTGCGGAGCAGCTAGGCCCGTGAGCCATGGCCGCTGAGCCTGCGCGTCCAGAGCCTGTGCTCCGCAACGGGAGAGGCCACAACCGTGAGAGTCCCGTGTACCGCAAAAAAAAAAAAAATTGCAGAATGAATGAACTGTGTACACTGCAAAGCATGAAAAAATGTTGATTATTATTACTATTATTGTTAATAAGTTTTGAGACAAAGCAGACTTTTTCATTAGATATTAACTTTGCATAAATATTAATACTTTTAGCCAAAAGTGAATTGAGGCAGCCAACATTTAGGTTCAAATGACAATCCTGTTCCAATTTTTTGATGTTTCCCTTGAAATAATTATTAGGGTTTTTTTTTCCTAAATGATATCTGATACTAGCATTTAAATCACATGAAATGAAAATGGTGAAGTTTCACTTCTTGTTACTAATTTTTGTAACCTCCAAGAGGGTTTCTTGGTATTACTGATTATTCTGCAACTTCCAGGTTCTCTCCAGATGTGAAGAAAATTGCTTACTTGGTTGAGATGCTTGTACTTACTTGATGAAGTACTTGATTCCATCTGCTGTGTAAGCTTCCTCCCACCCGTAAGGTAGACCTTGAGTGAAAGGAAACCAAAAATAGATTTAATAAGATGATAAAGATAACTTTATTTCCTGGACACAAATTTCCCACAGCTTTACAATTATTTGAGTACATTTCTTGTACAAAATAATTGTCTAGAAAGGAGGAATTGAAACAATTCAGATGAGCTTTCATACTCAGCATCTTAGAACACAATAAATAAGTCTTGAACAGTTAACAATCTGCTTTAGTTGCATTAAATGGATCATAACTTGTCATTTACATGTGGTGAGCATTTTTTTTTTTTTTTTTCGGTACGCGGGCCTCTCACTGCTGTGGCCTCTCCCATTGCGGATCACAGGCTCCGGACGCGCAGGCTCAGCGGCCATGGCTCACGGGCCCAGCCGCTCTGCGGCATGCGGGATCCTCCCGAACCGGGGCATGAACCCGCGTCTCCTGCATCGGCAGGCGGACCCCCAACCACTGCGCCACTAGGGAAGCCCGGTGAGCATTTTTGTCAGCAGGATTCAAGCAAAAATTTTTGGTGCAGGTGATGGTTTTTGCCTGGAGGCAGAAGGATGGACAAGATGGCCTCTGCTTGTCTATTCGGGCTCAAAGTTTCTTTAATCGGCTCCCTTTACATTCTTTCACTCAGCTCCACAGGGAATCGACATATGAGTACCAGATCAGCAAGCGGTTTGAAAGTAGCTCTTGGACAAGACAAAATTCCTTACGAAGCCTAAAAGTTTAGCAAAGTGATTTACAATGGATTGTAGTATTTTATTTTGTTAATTAAGAATTTTGTGCACTAAATGTTAACGGCCAAACAATTTGCTAAACTCAGCTTCCATTTCAGTAATGGGATTGAGAATAATTAGCTATAAAGAGGTGCAGACTGAAGTAAGCAAGCAATCATTTGGCCATCTTTCTATAAATAAGTACATTTTTGTCCTCATCATACCAACAGAACAGGCCCAGGTTGAGGCAGCCCATTCTCTTCTATTCCAATTATGGGTGGTACTCCTTTAGAACACAAGGGTTTCCATCCCTTGGCTCCACCCCTGAATACTGTTAAGCAGATGTCCCCAACCCCCAGGCCATGGACCAGTATTGGTCTGCGGTTTGTTAGGAACGGGTCACACAGCAGGTGAGCAGCGGGAGAGTGAGCGAAGCTGTGGAATTGTCTTCCAGGAAACCGGTGCCGAAAAGGTTGGGGACTGGACTTTCCTGGTGGCGCAGTGGTTAAAGAATCCGCCTGCCAATGCAGGGGACACGGGTTCGAGCCCTGGTCCGGGAAGATCCCACATGCCGCGCAGCAATGCCTGCTGAACCTGTGCTCTAGAGCTGATGCTCCACAGCTGGTGCTCCACAACAAAAGAAACCACCGCAGTGAGAAGCCCTCGCACCGCAACAAAGAGTAGCCCCCGCTCTCTGTAACTAGAGAAAAGCCCGCACGCAGCAACAAAAACCCAATGCAGCCAAAATTAATAAGTAAATAAATAAATTTAAAAAAAAAAGGTTGGGGACTGCTGCTGTTAAGGATTTTAACTGACCTTTTGGATCAGTCTTTGGTATTGACTTATCAAGGCTCCTTTGATGAGTATAAGAACATTAACACATCAAAGAACAGACTCCTGGTGCAGGTAGCCTACTTCTTTAGAAAGTAACTGAGCTGTAACAACAAACCATTTCCCCAAGTCTCAGCAAGGGGCAGAGCAAAAATGCAGGAACAGCAACTATGAACAAAATAAAACCTTTCTCTATCATCATTCACTTCATATTCTTTGAGAATAGCTCTAATGATGTCATTTTTATAAGAAAAACAAAACAAGCTTTACTTTATATTTACCTCCAGTCTTTTAACACAGTTGTATAAAATAAGAGCCTGGCCCAGAATTCTGTAACTACTTCCTTTGTGGATTAACACAGGCCACCTAGGAGTTTCTTTTTTCCCTTAATGAATAAATGTTCCTGCTTTAAGCACAAAATAAGCATATCTGGGAACTCAGCATAAGCAAATGACTGGCTTCTTAAAAGCACCTGAAGTGACACTACATATATCTCCGATAGTAACCATGGCCAGCACACGCTCAGCCAGACAGGCCATGCTCAACTGCTGCTGCAGTTCACGTAGATTTATCACCTTTACACTTTCTACGCCTTTGTTATAGATCACTTCATTTTTCGCTGACAAGCCCCTCACCTGAAGGGAAGAATCTGATGACTGTACACAAAAACCCTGCTTTTATGACAAAAAGGTTCAGAAATGCCAGGAATGATGATCAATAGGGCAAAGACACGCTAAAAGTAGAAAGTCATTCTAATGTGACTAAGATTTTTGTTTGAATGACTTGTCTCTTCAGTGCAATTATAGCCATATTCCTAATTTATTAATTCACAGGTCTTTTTTTTAATGAGGAGAAAAAAATATGTATACTTTAAAGACAGTATCTTTTAATCTATAGGATCATTTGAGAATTGAGATTGACATTGGGATACCGCATCCCCATGCCATCAAAATAGAGTTCCTGCCCTGATTATTTTCTTACAATTAGTAAACAAGGACTATAACTTCACAACAGTCTTATTAAAGGTACCAATTCATATCCATATAAGTCAAAATGGTTATTCAATGACTGTAGCCATCAAGATATTCCTGTTTATTGAACAATATTTTAGGATAAATTCTCTTTTCTGAAAAAATAGCATTTCTTTTTAGAAGACTGAGTGGTTTCTTCTTCTTCATGCAGTTAATATAGTCTGTAAAAAACAGACTTGGGGACTAAATTGATAGCGACTATCTTTCAGTGATAGTTCAGTAATAGAAAACACAATCACTGTCCAATTAATTATAAGTTAAAAACCACAATATATTGATACACCAAATAACCTACTTTTTAGAAAAAGGGCGCTTTTGATTTCTACAAGCTTATATAACTATGATGGACGCAATTGTCCTTTAGTAAAGATTTTCATCCCTTCACAATAAGTGATTTGGGTATAATTACAACATACTATCTAAATACTTTTCAATAATTGTTATAGTCCCAAGGCATTAAATTTTTTCTACATTCCCCACATCTTTATACTTGCAAATATATAATGCTTCTATCTTTCCTTTTCATCTTTGCTTTAAAACTGTTATGACAACTATTGTTTCTGATTGGAAGTATTTGTTTATGAACCCTCACATAACATTCTTCCCATCAGAGATCATTTGTTTCAAAATACTCTTCATGAGTATTTTGCCAAAGTAGGAGTCTCGTGCATATTCAGCTTAGAACACTGGCTGTCACCTAACACTCCACATATCCAAAACCAAACTCGTCACCTGTCCATACAAAATAGTTTCCCTTCTATTTTCCCAGTCTATTTACGTAGGAAAGTTCTCTTTGTCATATTTGGCCCCTTCATTAAATATTTATTGATCATTTTTTTTAGTGATTATTTTTCTGTGTTTAGCATTTTACCTGGTGTTCAATACATAATGATTAACAAATTAACATGTACCTTGGTCTTATGAAACTTTAAAAAGTAATCATAAATAAAGACACCATTAAAAGTAGGAATAAGTACTAGGAAAGAAAAGTATTGAATACTATGAAAGAGTAACTCATAGCACAGACAAAGGTTAAACTCCTTAATACATAAATAACTCCTACAAATCAGTAAGAGAAAGGAAATGACAAATAGGAGTCTGTGAAACATGTGGAACATTCAGGACATAAATGTACTTAAACATATGAAAATAGGCTTAATTTCACTCTTAACAAGAGAAATACAAATTAAACTAGTATGAGAGGCTGTGTTCATCATGTTAGCAAAGAGTAAAAAATAGTTTAATAAGACACTGTGTTGAGGGTATGAAGAGGCAGTCATTCTCATACTCATGGGAGTATACATATGATAACATATGTATGGGGAGAAACTTTTTAAGATCTACCTAAAATTTTAAACGCTAATAACAGCAGTTCACATTAATGGAGTGACCATGTGCTAGACATTGCATTACACATGTACCAACTCTCTTAGGCCTCACAACAATTTTACGAGGTACTATTATTATCCCTATTTTACAAATGAGGAAACAGGCATGGAGAGGTTCCATCACTTGCCCAAGGTTACACAGCTGGCAGGCAGTAGAGCCCAGACTCTTAACCACTACGCTGAACTGGCTCCATGGGCCATTTAATCCAGCAATTCTTCCAGGAATTTATCTTATAGATAACCTTTATGTACAAGATTATTAATTGTAAAAGTAAAAGATTGAAAATAATCTAAATAACCACCAATGGGGACTGATTAAAGACTATATATCAGATAACGGGATATTGTCCAGCTGTGAGAAAGAATGAGGAAGTACTTTATGTACAGTGTGGATAAAGGGATGTAGGATGAAAGAAGGATCTCTGAAATTGCTGGAGTTATCCAGGTACAGACGTGGGCAAGAACACTAGGTTGAGTGAACAGCAAGTGCAAAGGCTCTGGGATGGGGAAGAGCTTGGCATGTTTGAGGAACTGAGAAATCATTGTTCCCGGAGAATAGTGAGTGAGTTAGGAGGGGACTGATACAAGAGTGAGCCGGAGAGACAGGCAAATATGACTATGCAGGGTTTTGCAGGCCATGTTAAAATTGTTTGAAAGTTTCTTAACAGGAAAGCTGGAGATATGCTACTGTTTAAGATGAAGAAAGCTGCAAGAGAATGTTGCTCCCACCATATGTGCGGAAAGCTGCACAACCTAAAAAAAATTTTTAAAATTTTGTTTAGTTCCTCAGAGACTGAGTTCCTCACCTGAGCTGACCCTCAGGTGAACTGAATTCCAAAGGGTGACAAGCCCCTCTGAGGGAAGATGGGGCACGTGAACTCTTTCTCTCTTGGCAGAGCACAGGAAGAAGTCTTGCCATAAAAGTGGGTAGGAAGAAAATATCTAAAACTGTAATAAATTTGTAGAGCCTGCTTATGGGCTAGCGTGATAGTTTGGTGTCCCCGGGAGCCCTAGACACAAGGAGAGCCTGCTCTCCCTGAACAGCTC